TCCTGATGAAGAAAAAGCTATGCAAAATATGCGGTAACAATACCTTTAAAGCTTCCAGGACGTGTTGATACATTTCATAATATGAATTCGATTCTACCAATGTGTAGATTTTGGAGCGCGATACCGCATGGTTATCGAAGAAGCACAAGCTCAGTTTCCCGCTCTTGAAATCATCAATTTCTCGACCAGCAACTGTAGCAAGCAGAGCTTCCTCTAAAACCACAGTCGCAATTTAAGCGAAATAAATGATGAGATTCCAGATAACAAGACAGTACAGGCCATGGAGACCCCAACCCACATCATATTTGCTACATTTTGTTAATTATGAATGCGTAGTTTAATTCCATAGTACGTTTTATTGAAGTCCCTGTGCAACATCCCATTCAGCTAGCTACTACCATAACTTTCCGCGATCATTCTACCTTCTAACGTGCTACTTGAACAAAATACACCATTTCACCATGAAAAACAGCTCCTATGATTAAGTCAAACTAATGTAAAGAATAGAGTGTAGAAGCTTTCATATGAGTGTATCTTGAAAATTTATTTCCTCCTCTCATATTGTTATTTTTATCGCGCTTTCACCAATTAGGCTTCAAGGCTTTCAAGGTCAACCTGGTTGCTACAATCTGCTTAAAACAGTAAATGCCGAAGCACGGTAGGGTAATAAACCCAAGTACGCAAAAAGACGTGATACCGCAATTTCTTAGGTTAAATTTGGGAAGTACAAAAAACCGTTGGCCTGGCCAGTGGATGGTGTTATGAAGGGAGTAAAACGCAAAAAAACTATTAAAAAAAACGCAGAAAATTCGCTAAAGACAGCAAAACGGTGGCTAACGAAGTTGAAATAGTCAAAAAACGAGCTTCGAGAACTTGCAAAACCCTCAAGCAGAGCCTATGGTAAAAGATTGGTAACCGAGTCGGATATGAATATCTCTGCATACACAAAAAATCTTTGGGAAGGAGAACCAAAAAAAGGATAAATTACGGTCCTCAAAAGCATTCGATAAAAAAAAAACAAGAAAACAGTAAAAAAAACCAAGATATTGCTCATACTGATTTTGACAGAAAAACCCCAGTTCCAAAACTTTAGAATAGTGAACGAAACAAACAAAACACTTCGTGTTAACCTTGAAACCCATCGCTCGACATTGCCACAAGTTGTCCATACTTCAGCGGTTGACTCCACGGGCCGTCACAATCAAAGGGCTGAAACTT